AAACAATGATGCATACAAAATCAAAATGTCAAGGAAAGCAAAACTAAGTTAAAAACAAGTCATGAATGAAAAAAGAGCAGAAAGTATAAACTTATATCTGCCCCTACTTGCAAAATAAAATAACCACCAACTCAAAGGTTCACCATCAGCATACGGCGAGAGTAATTCTACGCACAAAATTATAACGAACAAAATTACAACAAAACAATACTTTAGACAATATTATAATGCTTCATCAAAGTAATTTTCAAGTTTTTTTAAATACAAAAAAATATTTTGACTGTTTTATCTCTCTATCAAGACCGTTCCACAAACAACACCCTTAAGTGAGATGCGTCTTCCCTTTAATACAGTTCTGAATCTATGTTTTTCAGAAGTCTCAACACCTTTTAAATTAAATAGACTTTCTCTTTTGATAAATCTGCTTTGGATGTTGTTAGGTAACAGATTTTTATGGGCTTTGTAAGTTAGAACAAACAGCGTTACACTCATATTACGTAAAGGTTCCATGTTAGGATAGAATGCTCAGAGCAACTTTTTACTGTACTATTACTTACTTAAATAACTTGAATTTTAAAAAAGTAGCTAATACAAGAAACAACTTTGACAGAACTTTAAAAAGTGTGGAAGAATACTATTTATTTTTAGTCCATTCTTTGTTTCTGACAATTATTTTGTTATTGTTTGTTTGGGAAGCCACTGAACTCTGACCTATGAATCATTCAAGGATTACATCTGCACTCATCAAGGGATGAGCTAGTGCTCTGTCCACACACAAACAACTTCGCAAAGAACCAGTTGTTATACAGTCACAAATATATAATTTTGTTCCAATTTTTCATTGCATCAGTTCCGTAAACAGACAATCATAAAATAATGTGCTACTTTTCTCAGATGCCTAGATAAATGGACATTGCTCTGATGATATTGAAAGAATGGGATTGTGTGTGGCAATATATTTATTGACCCATGATTACAAGGAACTGATGAACAAAAGAATTATTGACATATAATGTGGTTCGAATTGTTGTAGTCTTTACACATTTATTAGTTTATAACTGATCCTTTAAAATTCCTTGAAAGCTACGTTATCAATAATTCAAAAGTCTGTTTTTGTTTGGTCAGAGAAAGCAGCTTCTGATGCAGTTTTAGTTTAGAGAAACTGTTTATTGGGTGTGTCTGGATTTTATAGTGTGTAGAAAGGTGCACACTGTTCACTCACAAGTGTGTGTTTACATTCCTGTATAAATATATAAAGTTTATATGTGACACATTTGTAACCATTCGTCATTGATTTCCAGGTATGTTAATTGTTGTTGGAACCCAGTGAGCTCATCTCCCAGTGGTGCCTTAACTTTTTCCTTCAGGTCGGCCACTTAAAATAGTGTTGGTACTTTACATATTTTCCTATAAAAAATAAGCCTGCTTTTTACAAACCAAGCTCTATTCAGCTGTTTTGTGTTTTACTTGACAGTGCTGTGTTTGGTGGCACTAAAAGTAAAGCATTGGTTTTCAAACTTTTATGTGCTTTCATAAAATATACTTTTTGGATATTATTAGATCTCATTGTCATTCAAAAGTAAACGATAAGAAAACACTGGAATTTTCTTCTGCTTTGCGTTTTTTTGAGGTTGATTTTATACATATTAACTATTTGTCAACAGTTGTTTCACAACCTAAATTCACACCACTTGTTTAACTTTAGCTTCTCTCTGTCAAATCAGTTTCAACAAGTAAAGCACCTTTTTCAGTCATGCCTGTTGTCTAAATAAGTTGTGTCCCACACACAGGCTACTTCCAAGAATGGGCTTTTTCACCTCGGACAGGTAATCATTCCTCAATCCCGGACAAACCCGTTGGCCTCTGAAAACTGAAGCACAAACCTTTCCTGGTTCTTCCCTGTTGTCACATCTGTCCTTTTCTCCCTCTGACTTGGCTTCTACTTGGTGGCAGTGGATTTTGTTTTTTCCTTGCTGGGTTCACAGATTTTTCCTCCTATGAAGTGATAACTGAAGCCTGTCCATAAATAGAACCCTAGACTGAGCCTTCTGTTTGGACACCTGACGTTGACTGCTAGAGGACATAGACATCTGATTAGTTAAATAGGGGGAAGATTCAGACAAAACCACCAATACAATTTTTTCCTACTTGGTGACACTTTTGGCCTTACAAATAATAAACCTAAAGGTTTGACCCCGTTTAAATATGCCAGTCATAGTATGTTTGGATAATTAATTCATTCAAGCAAGTTGTTTTTGTTTAACTGTAGTTGTGATTTAGTTGCCTGCAGCTAAATTAGACTGCATACATTCACTTTTTTTAACAAAAAAGTTTATCCTAAAGGACATGATAAATGCTTAAAAGCCGAAGCCTTTTCTAGATCTCCTAAAAGGAACAAAAAAAAATTCTCAGTGTTGTTCTTAAGAGCTTCGCAATCATCTGTAGTTCCTCTACAGGTGTTCATCTATAAGGCTACAGGTTATTTCTGGATGGTGCGGCCTGTTATATAAAACAATTACTATCTTTTTTTCTATTTCTGGGAAATTAAAACGGTTATCTCAATGTTATGGTTTGCCCTTCTTTGTCCCTGCTGGAACTTTTTGGCCTTTTCTGACGCATGGTAAAAGTAAGCCTGGAAAGTTGACCTTCTTGTTTTCTCCCCCAGACAAGAGATGATTTCCTCGGGCAAGTCGACGTTCCTCTCAATTATCTGCCGGTGAGTTATTTTGCATCCGTGTGTGTTTACACAAACTGACTGCTTTTAATAGTGTTTTGAAGACTCAGCTGTTTCACATTCTTCAGTTTTGCTTGGCCCGATTGACTCCATGAAGGTCAGGCTGCACCAGTGTTTGTGTCCGCAACTGTCTGTGTGAGAAAAAAGCTCAGTAAGAAGTGTTTTGTTATGGTTGTCAAACAAGACTCTCCTTGTTAGAAATAGACTGCGGACGTGAGAACATAAACATGATAACTTTGGTTATGAAACGTCAGAACCGATGGAAAAAGCTACACTAGTCAGATTCACACATTCACTTGTACTGTGCGGGACGCTGGGAAACAGCTTCTCAAAACAACAACAACAACATGCAGGATCTGTGCACGCTGAATAAGTTAATCACAAGAACCTGAGATTGTAAAGCTGCATTCCCTCTACTGAATAGGGAAATGTGTTGACAGCTTGATCATTTCTCACTGCAGTCTTGTCAAAAAGAAAAGCACTTAAGTGAAAATTGTTTGGTAGAATTATTAGCATACCTTTTAGATCTCAAAGACCCAAGAAGCTGTAAATTTTTTTTTAAAAAATGGGCTAAATCTGAGTCATGCTGAGAAGTGACGTAAGAAACTTTAAAATGAAACTATAGTGTTTTTCTAAATGAGTCCATGTGTTTTCATTCAGGTTGTTTATGCATGACTGTGTGTTGAAGAAATTTCTGTTATTCATAGTTACTGGACATTTCTGAAGTCATCATTGTCCCTCCCTCCTCCCCCTTCAATAACAGCTTATAATGTTCCTTTTTGTGAAACTGGATTGCAATGCTGAGTCAGTGCCACAATAGCCACATTTGCCATTCTGGACTCTGACTTGTTCTTTTCATACTAAATACAGCGTGGAGTTAAACAGAAACTCATTATTAAACCTGTATGAAAATAAGCCCCTGTCACACTAGACCAGTGGTTCCCAAACTTTTCAGCCTTTGACCCTCAAAATACCAGCAGCAGAGACCTGAGCCCCCAACTGTTGTTGGATCATAAACATTGTTTTCACGTAAAAAAAAAAAAAGAGCATAGTAAGAATGTTCATTATGCTATTTTTGTCCATTTTAAGTATACGCTAACCTTACCCTTTTGTAACAACAAAGGCAAAAAAAGTTATTTTCTTATATAATTTATTCAGAAAATCTTTTCGGGACCCCACCTTGATGTTTTGGGACCCTATTGTGGTTCCCGACCCCAAGTTTGGGAACCACTGCACTAGACAACTTAAGAACATTTTAAAGACATCTACCGTACATTGAAGATGGAATTGAAATAATCAACATAAACCTTCCTTTTGGCATGTACATAATGCAAATTGATCAACTAACTTTTATTAGCAATTTAGACATAAGTTGGCATTGGTTGTCTAGTGTGACAGGGCCTTAGTACTTTTTACCAACTATTTTAGTCACCATCTACAACTTTGATCGGTTCTACAGATCAAATAAGTTACTGAGCTTCAGCAACTCTAATTGTTTTTTTTTATTAAACTTTATTGATCAAATTGCCCAATCTTTACAGTTCAGGACACAGTGAGCTGCCAGCATGGACTGCTTTGGCCCTGTCAGAGAGCAGTTTGAGGTTGTGGTGACTTTTCTGCTGTTCATTTTGTAACAGGAGAACCTCAGCATTGCATAATGACTTGAGGAAGGTTTTAATAGTGTGTGTGTATGTGTGGGGGGGGGGGGGTGGCAGCTGTTCTTTAAAGTAGTGCACAGGGATTATTTGTGTCCAAGCTCCATGTCCTTTTTTTATTTTTTACTTGACTGCTTAATTAACAATTTTGTGTTTTGAATTTTTAGACGGAGGACCCGGCCATGGAGCGTCCATACACATTTAAAGACTTTCTGTTGCGGCCAAGAAGGTCAGTCTTTTGCTGGGTGGTTGCTTGAAGAAAATATATTTAGTAACTTTTTAAACCATATTTCTAGGATTTATTGTTTTCTTAGTAAAGAAAACAAGGATTAAAGTTAAACCCATGTATCCAACGCTGATCTTATGTGTGGGCATCATGTGACGATTATTCAGACGCTAAGAGGGAATACCACCTGGGACTAAAAGGCTGTTGTGAAACTCACCCATGTTTCAAGCATGTAAAGCAGATGTTGTTTTTCCAGCCACAAGTCCAGGGTGAAGGGCTACTTGCGTCTGAAGATGGCCTATTTGCCCAAACAAGGAGGACAAGAGGAGGAGGCTGGAGAGATGAGGGAGGAGGCTGAGGTAAGATCTCAGACATTGTTGTTGTTGACTTGGTTTAAACGGCTGACTTTCTATTACCAAAAGCGTGATTTGTCGTTTTTTTAAATAACACTCATCCAGACAGTATTCTAGTTTTATTACTTCCTTCCTCACAATGACAGCACAGCTCTAAGCTGGAAGACTAACATGAATGCCCTACTTTGGACCAATAGAAATGTCTATGAGGTGTGGGTGGACAAAAGTCAACTCCTCTCTTTTTTTTTTTCCCTGAAAATTTGTGAAGCATATTGTTGCCAGAGTCTGGTAAAAGGGTTAGATCCAGGTTAGGGTCTGGAAAAGTCATTTACAGTGAGGTCTGCTTTTTTTTGCAAAAAATAAGAGCTTTGCCTTTTTTACTTTGATGGGTGCTTTTGCATCTTAAGAGAATGAAAAGCTTTAAAGATAAGCTAGCATTCAACAGCCAGCTGCTTCTGTCAGTAAATGTCATCTAAAGCGAGTCCCATCTTTTATGTATTGTGATATCTGAATCCCCTCCTAAATTTTAAACATTACTAAACTGCAAAGTATTGATTAGTAATCTTATCGTTTGCCTGCAGGATTAAATATCTTTTACCCCATTTTTTTAAATTAAAGCAAATGTGTGCTTTGTCTTTCAGGGTTGGGATGAGTCTGTGGATTCAGGCTCCCAGCGGCCTCAGCAGCTGCTGCCTTCTTTACCTCCAGGCTGGGAGGAAAAGGTGGACAACCTGGGACGCACCTACTACGTCAATCACAACAATCGCTCTACACAGTGGAAACGGCCTTCCAACACGTACTCCTGAGCTTATTTTTCTTTGTTTGAGTTAGAGAACAGCTTTAGTTTGGCATCAGGCTAGAACTGAAAGAAATTCTTGTTATAAAAATATTTAATTCCTTTAAAAACCTATAATACTACTGTAGCTACTGGTTACATTTTGATTTTCTTTATTATTTGATTCACAATGGCAGCTTTTGTAACATCGTCTTTTCATAATAAGGGACGTGATCTCAGAAATTGAGAGCGACAATCAGCAGCGACAAATCCACCAAGAAGCACACCGTGTTTTCCGAGCCAGGCGCCACATCAGTGAAGACCTGGAAAATGAACGCCTGGATTCCAGGGAGATGGACAATGTGAGGAAAAAAAGAAACAAAAACAAAACACAAAACACTGAAAGTAGATTATTCATAAAACCACAGCTGTCCTAAGGTCCTCAAAACACGGTTGTGTCTCTGTTTTTTCTTGTAGTCCTGGGAGCTCATCACAGAAGAGGATCCCAACGACAGCCTGGCCCAGTCTCTGCCTGGTCCCTCCTCCGCGTTGACCCCACAGCACTCGCCGACACCTGTTACTCAGGAGTTCTCTGAAGATCTCAATCTCCGGCTGTCACTCACTCCTGCCACCAACGGTGAAGTGCCAGGGCCCAGCACCTCTCTGGTGAGACCTGAACACTAAGTTTGTTCACTCAAAACTTCAAATCGCTTCTTGTTTGAAATGTTTGCAGCCAGATGGAATTGTTGGTGGGTTTGTTCATTTTCTGTTTTGTTTCGATCCATAAAAAGTTTGTTCTCTCCTCTGCACAGAGCCAGCTGTCAAACAGACTCCGTTCCTCCAGTATGACAGATGGCGTCAGCGATCAGACCCAGGCTCCTCCTTTAACGGTACACAAATTTGATTGAACCATTAAGTTTTCTCCATCCCACTACCTAATTCTTACCTCTTACACCCATTCTTACCTTGTCACCTGAGCAGGTCACTCCTCCTGGCTGACATGCGTACTTTGGATGTGATTTATTGTTTAGCTCCTTTTCTTGCATGTCAAATTTCCATCTCTTCATGCGAGGAAGCTTTCCTGTCAAATTTGATTTTTTTCTCTCCTTACTGTAAAGTAACCACCCCTTTTCCTACCCTCTAATTGCTGTTACTCTTGTGATTCACCCGCTGTTGTGTTTGATGTGTGGAGATGTAGGCTCAACAGGTTTTGACAATATGACCATTCCTGTAGCAGCCCTCGCTGGGGAGCAGAAATGGAGGAAAGCACCACATCAGTTCAAACACAGCCCACAGATTTCTGAGTCATAACATCAGCAAATATTCAGCTCAACAGAGTGTCTTGTGATCTGAATCAGATGCTGGTCATAAAGCTGAGTCATAATGAAAAATACAGGTGCCAAAGTCAGCCTTTCAGTTGAATTTCAGCTTTCCCAGGACCGTCAGTAATTAAGATTTCATCACAGGGGTTGTATAAAACCTCTGCTTTTAACAATTTGGTGTTTAAGTACAGCAAAATCTTATGAATGGAACTCGGTTCATCGGTCAAATGGTAAATGGTAAATGGTACTGAACTTATAGAGCACTTTTCAAGTCCCTCCGGACCCCAAAGCGCTTTACACTAACAGACATTCACCCATTCACACTCACATTCACACACTGATGATGGCAAGCTACATTGTATCCACAGCTGCCCTGGGGCACACTGACAGAAGCGAGGCTGCCATGCACCGGCGCCACCGGACCCTCTGACCACCATCAGTCAAACCTAATATCCTCGAGTTTCGCAATTTGATTCACAGTGAGCAAATCTCAACTAGACAAACAATGTTCATGGTCTAAAAAAATGTTAGTAATAAAGCTGATGAATTGCTCGAGGGCTCAAAGTTAAGTTTGTAACTCCTTGTGCTTTCCTAAAATCACATTTTTAATAGATAATTTTAAATGACAAATGATCCTACTTCCACATGCGTTTTGATTAATTAACAGTAGAAACCGTGCTTAAAGTAGTTTTTACAGTTCAGTATAGGTGGTGCGTATCAAGTTAGTAACTTTTTTGTGAAACTGTTGTCATTCTGCTTGTATCATTGTCTCTGAATGATTCTGATAGAGTTGGAGTTCTCTGTTTTTGATTTGTTTCCTTGTAAGTTTGTTGAGGGTGACATCTTTTGAATCACTTTTGCTGCTCTTTTTAAAGCAACACTCTTCTCTAAACTGTGTTATGTGACTTCATTTTAATTGCATTCTTGGTTTTGATTGAAGTTGCATTGGCTGTGTGTAAAATATAATCGGCAGAATGTGTTCTCCTGTCCAACAGAAAGGTGTAGACTGTCGGGACATCCTAAAACAAAGTCAAGTTCCGCACCATTTGGCTGCCGTGCTAATCTCCATTTAAAATAATTTACAGACAGTAGTCCTGATGCATCTCAGTAATCCAGGTAAAAAATCAAAAAGAAAAAAATTGTGTAGGTCTTCTGGACGGGTTCTTCTCTAATGAAACGTTTCGTCTCTCCTCCAAGAGACTTCTTCAGTCTGAGAGTTTCAGGCAAAATTCAGGCTTTTAAGCCCTGCCTCCATGTGACTGARACTCACATCACATGGCTATCGTTGACACCTAATTAACACCTATTGTTAACAGGGGGTGGAGTGATACTGGCAATAGCTGCGCTATAGGAGGGGGACAACTGAAAACGGAGGCCTCCACCTCTGTTTAATGATGGACGGTCTTTCTTCACAAAAATGGCTTCTTTTACTCCTCTCTCAAACCAGCGTTCCTCTCTATCAAGAATGAGAACATCCTCATCTCTGAAAGAGTGACCGCTGGCCTGTAAATGAGTGAAAACTGCAGAGTTCTGGCCATTAGACGTAGCTCGTCTGTGTTGGGACATTCTTTTGAACAGTGGCTGCTTTGTTTCCCTGATGTATAACTGGTCGCAGTCCTCCTGGCGCTTAACAGCATATACAACATTGCTCTGTTTGTGTCGGGGCACCGGATCTTTGAGGTGAACCAGCCTACGACCAGTCAACGATAGCCATGTGATGTGAGTATCAGTCACATGGAGGCAGTGCTTAAAAGCCTGAATTTTGCCTGAAACTCTCAGACTGAAGAAGTCTCTTGGAGGAGAGACGAAACGTTTCATTACAGACAGTAGGTTTCACAGCCACTGCTCCCTTCCACCATGGCTCATAATCAAATCAATCTCTCTTTCTGCTACTCCTCACCTCCTTCAACAATAAATTCCCCCCGTTTCTGTCCATTCACTTTTCCCCTCACTCAATGCCACCTCCCTCCAGCCCAAATCTTTACCACTCTGGCCATGAAAACATGACATACTGTGAACTAAAGACCGTGTTCCCCTGTTGTCTACCACCAGCAGAGTTCCCAGACCAGAAGAACCAGAGCTCAAACAGTCTCAGGTGGTGAGGAGACCATGGTAATATCTCAGTTTATGTTCAGTACAAAATGATAAATCACAAACACATTTTTTTACAAACACTGTGTATAATAAACTGTTTCTTCTAGGAAAATATGCACAGGCTTTCAGCCGTTTATACTGTGAAATACTTCTGTTTTCGAATAAGTAAATATTGTTTAGGCTTTGTTATTAACCTGTTGCATACATTCATGCTGAAATGGACAGCAGAAGTTCACGTCCTTTTTAGCATGCGATTAATTTGTTTTGTGAGCTCATCACTGCTGTTTGCAAAAGCTGTTCTTCAAAAAACTTCTCCCTCCTTCAGTTCCTTTATTGCTGAGTGCCAGTGATCAGCCATTGTGAACAAGCTGTAAAGCTTCAAATTTTCCTCTGTCATTACTTGATTATAAGGTTCTTTAATGTTTATGCATAATTTATATTTTATGATCTGCTCTGTTTCCACGTGTTGTATTTCCTTTAGTGTTGCTCTTTATATCTTTGTGTATATATCACTGCCAACTTTTCCCCTAGTTTTGAAGTTGTCAGCACTGAACTGTAAATGTCTTATGGAACCTAAGAGGAAATTACTTTAAAGTATTTGTTTTGCTGCTTGTTGTTGCAAAACTAACACACAAAAAAACCCTACATTTAAAGTGTGACTTTATTTGAAGCACCAGTATCTGTCAGGTTATCGATTATGATTTTAAAATGACATTGCTTTGACATCGATTTCCCCCACATGAGTCTTTGAGCTTTATTAGCTTTTACTGATGATGGTTTGCTTTCTTTTTACACTTGGCCAGTCTCCCTCGGCAGCTCCTTACACCTTGACCACCCCCGGCCTGCCCCCTGGATGGGAGGAGAGGAAGGACGCCAAGGGGAGAACTTATTACGTCAACCATAACAACCGCACCACTACTTGGACTAGGCCAATTGTGCAGGTACAGCAGGTCCGAGGGCTGGCTGTCGGGCTGGCTTCATGCATGGTACTGGACTGTACCTTGCTTCCTGTCATGGCATTGGCCTGTGTGTCGGCCCTTCTGTCCCCTTTACCCCCGTCCTTTGTTTTTTCTGTATATGTTCATAAAGAAGTACAGATGGAGACTCCTTAAAATCTCAACGTTCCTTTTTCTGGCTTTCCCTCTGTCTGGTTTCCTGTTTTGTCCAACTTAATTGTATGTCTCTCCTCTCTTGTCTAGCATTTTGCTTGATATTAGGATGAAGTGCATCTTTGTATTGGTCACACCTTTCTAAACCCTGGCATGGATCTGTAACTACCACTCTTCCTTCCCCTTCACTCACCTCAGCTCTGTTTTTGCACTTGTCTCCTCCTGTCGTTCTGTCTACAAATGAAGCAAATAGTCATCAAAACCAACACTGATGGGTTGAGTCTACCTTTTTTTTGTTTTGGTGTTTTAAAAAGCAATCATTTTTTTCGTCATTTTCCAAATGTCACCACTTGTTCATCGCCACAGTGTCTTTTCATTCTTTTTTCTTTTTATTATTACTGAAGAAAAAAAAGCCCTACATAAAGTGATTTGTCCCTGGTTTTTGTTTTGAAGTGGAATTTTTCCCATGTGTGTATTTAAGGACTCCAGTTTTTACTCTCTCACACACTTCACGGGTCTAAATGTCTTGTGCATTTGAAAATTTCAGGAGCTCATTTCTTGAGAGTAGAGTTGGCATCCAGACCCTTCCGGTGCAGACAAGCATCTTTTGACAAAATGATTCGTGACCAAACAAGGCTTTCATTTTGCTAAACAGCGTCAGTTGATTTAACCCTCTCTCCACCTAACCTCCAAAGTGCTGTTTTCACCAACAGCTGACCGAAGACGGAGCCAGCACCTCAGCAGCAGCAGCAACAACTTCAGGAGGAGCCTCGGCACTGGCATCTGCTTTCACCCCCTCCTCCTCCTCCTCCAATGCTCCCAGCAACCACCTCCAGGAGCCCCAAGTCCGACGACCTCGTAGCCTCAGCTCCCCCACCGTCACCCTTTCCACCCCTTTGGAGGTGAGAATTAGACACCTGAACTATCCCGCTCCATCACTCCCATTTTCTTTTTTCCCATTCTCACCAGCAGGGCCGCACCTATTTCTGTCCCATTTTCTCCCAGCCATGTTCTTTTTTCACCCAGTTGAAGATGGTCAAATTAAAACCTTAGCCTTTTTACATTTTTTAGCCTCATTACTTTTGACATCTGTTAACTCTCCTGTTTTCAGGTTCATGTTTTCCAGAGGCTGTTTTGATCATCACAAATCATACGAAACTGTTGACCTCTCACCTTTTTAATCATCCTAAATCTCTCTCTCTATTGATAATGATTCTTTTCTTCACTCCTTCCTCTTTTTGTTATCATCAGTCAGTAGTGAGTTGATTTCGGTAATAGTGGCTACAGGTGGGTGTTTTTGTGTTAAACTAACATCCACAGAAATACCAGAAGCCAAGTTTTGTGAAAGAGCTTAATAGTTAATGTTTTGACTGAGCTCATGCGACAAATGAAAAAGCTGCATTGTTTCATTGCTTTGGACTAACCTGAACTCACACTGTAAAGGTTTTGTGTAATAATGAATGTCTCTTCAGCACATTAAGATTCATCATGCAGCTGTGTTTTCACAACTTCATGCTTTTCATGCTGATTTAAAAGTGTTAATATTCACACAGCGCAGGTAGTTAACTTGTGAGCTGCTTGATCCTCCAGGTGAATTATTGAAATTCTTCTTGTTGTTTGGACCTTTTTTTAGTGCTGTCAAATCATGCAGATAATGCTATCAGATCTTGTTGCTACAGCTTGAGGCCTTTTGAATTCACATTTTAAAGCAAAACATCTCAGCTTCATACACTTTATCTGGTAGGAGCATTATCTTAAACTTTGCAGATTCAACATGATCATAAAGAAACAAGAAGCCTAGTTAATGAAGACCAACAGTCTCTAAAAACGGATGACCTGTTCTTGACCTTCTGCTGCTGCTAATGGCTTTACATGATGGTAAAGATCATTCATTTCTGTGGAGGGAACAGACCTGAAGGGGCTTTAATTAAAATGTCTTTGAGCATGTGTTTATTAACAAGACGTGGGAGTAAAAGGAAATGGAACTCATACAGAGATTGATGTAATTACAGCTTCCAGTGGAGGTGGAAGGTCTGTAATTAATTACAGCATTTTTTCTGTTTTAGAAAAATGAGATCAGTGATAATTACTGCAGGAAAAAATTGAAGTCGTATTTGTCAGTTTAGGCTTGGAAAATGCAAGTCTGATTTGGATTTTTATTTACTGAGATGACATGTTTCTCGTTTAAAGCTGTTGTGATTGACATATTTTGGTATTTTCATTGAATGGGGTAAAATAACTAACTTACACTAATGTGAGGACAATGTTGGTGGTGCACTGTGTCCTAGTGGGTATCAGCATTTTGAAAAAGATTTAAATTTTTTACTTGTTTTCAGAAGATAAAGGTAAATTTGGCTGACTTGGGCTCATTTTGCTCTTACTGTCTTCAAACAATGACAGAATGTCAGTCATTCGTTAAGTCTTCCTGAGATATATTAATGAAACTGGTTTATATATTTTCCCTTGTTTTTTTGTTTTTTTTTCAGGGTGCCAACAACATCCAGGTGAGAAGGGCTGTGAAAGACACACTCTCCAATCCTCAGTCCCCTCAACCGTCCCCCTACAGTTCCCCCAAATCTCAACACAAGACACAGCAGAGCTTCTTGCCCCCAGGCTGGGAGATGAGAATAGCTCCGAACGGACGGCCGTTCTTCATCGACCACAACAGCAGAACCACCACCTGGGTGAGTTCACACACTGAGCCATGATCAATTCTTACTCTAAGAATAGAAATTTTGGCAAATAAAAAGAAAATATAGTTGATTTTTTTTCCTCTGGATGTAATGTTTTTGGTGATATTTGATCTAATGAAATAAATCTAGAACAGCTGTTAGTTCTTTTCTTTACAGGATGGTTTACTGACACCTTGTGGTATAAAAAGTCAAACACTTTTTTAGGAACACGTTACATTGAATATTTGTTTCCTTATTCCTGAGTTAAAAATAAATTGTTACTTGTTTAGTCATATTTTTCCCCCTTTTTTTGCTGCTGATCAACAGGAGGATCCCAGGTTGAAGTATCCGGTCCATATGAGGAATAAAAACTCCATGGAGCCTGGTGACCTTGGTCCTCTTCCTGTAAGTACGGTCACAGATTGATTTATATCTGTTTGGCCTCCCAAGCTCATTCATAGCAACCTCAGAAAATGCTTTGTCTCATTCACCCACCACAACCAGTATTTATTACATTTCATCTATAGTATTTGCTTTAACATAAAAAAAAAACTAAAGAGTAATATTTACACAAAAAACTTTTATTCTCAATTATGCTTTTTGTTACCAGTCAGTTTAGTCAGCTTGTTACAATGTCCATTTATTTCACTCTTTTTTTGTTAGTCTAATTAAAATTAAAAGGTCTGGGGAAACTACATCTCAAGAATAAACTAGAATTCACCTAATTTGGAGGTAAATGTAATAAAAAATAAAAAAATTCTTGAGTTTTTTTTTTTATTATTATCACATTTTAAATTGATCCAGAGCCAAAAGAAAACATGTAATTTGTTTGAAATGTCTAAAAACACTGAAACCGCCTTTAAAGTTTTAAATAGCTATAAAAATTGCTGAAATAGTTGAAATTAGCATAATGAACATGTTCTCTGACATAAGCTGTTGAAAGCTGAAATGACCACAAAATGGTAATTTAGCTGGAATTTAGCTTAGTTGAATTTTTCTAAAGAGCAGCTAAAAACAGAAAACAGCTGAAAGAAGCACAAAATGTTTCACTTCAAAATCACAGAAAAGGCCAGAATGAGAGCTAAAAAAGTAGAAAGGAAAACTAGAAGCTGATGAAATCTGGAATTTGCACAAAGAAGTTAAAAGTAGAAATAATAAAAGGTAAAGATTACAGTAAGATTACAGTATTCAATAAACATTTTAACATGTTTTAAGGATGTTAAGCTCAGTTTATTTTCAATGAGGAAAAAAATGACAGGAAAGCTAAATACCTTTAAAAAGTACAAATTGCTGAAGTACCAAAAGTCACAACCAGAATGTCCTGAAGGAGCCAAACATTTTGAAATGCAAGTTGTTGAAATAGGACAAAAATCGCAGAACAAAATCTGTGCTGAATATGTAGTGTGAATGCTTATCTAACATTCACACAATAATGTTACTTTGTTTTTTTGACAGTGGCATTGGCAAAATATCTCATGAACCAGTGGACTAATTTTAATGAAACAAAGTAATGAGTAAAGGTGGCTGAACGGATGAAGATCTTCTCAATATAGATGATTTTACTTTAAAACTATTGCTATGAAAGGCATTCTTTAAGGAATTTTAGGCCATTAAATATTCAACAAAACAAGAATGTAAAATGAAACAAATGAGGAATTTAAATTTTATAGTCCCTGGCTTTGTCATAAAACTGATATATTATGTATTTTGTCTTCTCATTGCAGAAAGTTGTCACTGATTTGTTTGTAGACTTTTCTAATGATACGCTCTCTGTCATGTATAACTGGAGTTGAAGAGGTTTTTATGCCTCAAAGCCGTTACAGATTGTGTCATTTGCATTTTGATGGTTCATTTGTTAGTATCTAAAAGGGTTTTCAGTCTACAGTGCATTCTAATGTAGATTCTTTGTAACAAATGGTCCAAACAACTGCAGGGAGATGTTTAATGAAAACTTGAGGTCTGAGCAGCTCACGAGCTTGTGTGGCGTGAGTGCATGTGTGTGTGATCTTTCTCTTTCCTTCTTTCTCATTTCTCTCCATTCTGGTGGATCTAATGTACGCCACTTCTTCTACACCTGGCCATGTCTGTCTGGCAGAACCTTCCAGAGGAGGTTGGTTGGTGCCTCCCTCCCTCTGCCTGCCTTTCAACCTGTCTGATCCAGTCTGGTCAAAAGTGCCTGCAGACAAGCCTTATTTTTTTCTTTTCTTCTTTGTCTTTCTCTCTTTTTCTCTTTCCCTGTCATGACCGGCATGAATGGATTGTACCTCTCCCCTCCTTCTGGTGTTTCACTCCCGTTTTTTTTTCTTTCTTTCTGTGAGCGCCATCCCTGCTTTGCCACTACCTCTTTGTTTTATTTATGATTTGTTTTTTTGAAGCTCCTGGCCATTATTTTGGGATTCCTCAGCCTTCTTCATGTCTGTTTTACTTTCATCAACATCTGAGGCACAGTTACATACGTTTTGTAAAATGGAACAAAATAAAATCCTCCAGGCATTTGTTAGAGGGAGAAATAGACCCAAAAAGACGGACTGATGGAGGAAAGGGGAGTGAAAGAACAAGGGAGGTTCCAAAAGGAGCCAGAGGAAGGAACTGACAATAACCTGCACTTATTATCACTTTTTGTTTGGTCCCCAATCATTTAGCAGCAGCATATTTAGAAACATATGATGGAACAACACTTCATTTGGCAGATTATCAGACTCTGTTCCTTTCTCCACCCATTTTACCCTCATTTATTGTTTGATTGCTGCTGGCGTATGAGTGTGTATGTGTGTGACACTGTACTGCGTGGTCACCATGGTGTTGGTATACTGGGTTGTAGTGATGATAAAACGTTTCTGTTGTGGTCGTACCCCTGCCTTGCTGATGTGTTAGAGACCTGACTCAAATAGGACAGGAAATCCTTTAATTTCCTTTGCGGTGTTTGATTGAGCTTGCCTCGCCTTCAGTGCTGGGATGTCGGTGTTTTCGACCGCCTTAATGGTCGTTCAAGTTCAATTAAACGTGAATCGAAAAGGAAACCTAAACGGATGCATTTAAAATACTATTTGAGCACAGCTTGTTGTGGTGGCGCAAAAAAAAAAGTATTTTCCTCATTCATTCATCTTTGCTTTTTGTTTTGTTTTTCAGCCTGGATGGGAAGAAAGGGTTCACACAGATGGACGCACCTTTTACATAGATCACAGTAAGATAACCCTTTGTTCTTCTAATGCTTTTATTCGTTTGTGTTTATGTTCTTAGTTTGGTTTTTCTTTGTGTGTCATTCACTTTACTCCAGGTACGTTTAAATCAAAAACACCCAGAACTTAAAAAACGCCTAATTTCTTTGTTTTTTTTATGGTTAAAGGTTATTTCAGGCTATTTCACCTTGTTTAATGAGTGAAGAAAGTTCATGTCTGAAGTGTGAAACATTTCCGTTTTAGTGGAGTGATGTGTAGCAGGTGACCTACAGTATGAAACTCCAGAAAAGATCATTGCAATTTAAATGACCTCCTATTTGACCATAATGTTTGTTTGATACCACTTCCATGATTACATCACTTACTCTGTTTTTGTTTGTTGAAGTTTGTTTATTTATTTTGGTAGTTTCAGGAGTTTTAGTTTTCTTTTGCAAATGACATGTTTGTGAATTTGGCAAAGGATAGAATTCATACATGAAAACCAACATTTAGATAATTTTATTACTTTTTCTGTCACTGTTTCTGTTTAGATAAATTAAAAATATAATAACCTGTACAAGCTTCCTGTAAGGAATTTAATGTAACTAAACTGAATGAAATGAAAAACTGAATATTTCCCTCTATGGAAATATGGTTATTATAAAATGTTTTAAATGGATTTGTGTCCAATACATTGCGCTAGAACCCATGATTACTTAATTGTCTGTATATATGCAGATAGATTTATTGCTTTGTTTATATAGTTTATGGGCAAAAATGGTCTGGCTTGTGCCTTTAAACATTTCCAGGCATTTCCAGAGGCTACTGGGGGCATTTTATTTGAAGACCAGCTTCCTTCAGTTCTTACCTTTTTAGTTTGACACCCTTACAAAATAAAATAAATACCAAAAGGCTTTAAAGGAATTTCAGTGGTGACAGTTAAGGGTAAGTTCTATATCAAAGTTGGAAAAGAGAAGAGTTTTCATGATAATATGAATTATAGGAAAAGTTTCCAAAAGATGACATTTTCTGAACATTTGTTTTTTTTATCTGATTTTTGTCCAAATTAGAGTCTGAAATTAATTAACTGCTGTTTTTTTTCCACTCAGATACAAAGACCACACAGTGGGAGGACCCCCGTTTACAGAGTCCAGCTATCACGGGACCTGTGAGTAAATTCCTCTTTCACCCTCATTTCTTCATTCCCCACATGCAGCAATGCACTTTCATCTGAGGCACACCGTCTTCAACGAGATGACTCAGATTGTCACGGCAGTTCTAACAAAACCATGACTATCTTGGTGTCCTTGTATGCAACTTTAGATAATGTTTGCTTTTATTGTTTATTTGTTACTCCATAAAGTTTTGTGTATTGTGAAGCTATGTGGTTCCGCCTTTTCACTTCTGTGCAGGCTGTTCCATACTCCAGAGAATTCAAACAGAAGTATGACTACTTCAGGAAAAAATTAAAGAAACCAGTAAGAAACTATTCTTACCTCTTGATTTTTGTGTTATGATCCAACATGTGCTTAACATAAGAATTAGATGTAATGTGTCTTAAACTCGTTAAAAAGTTGGAATTTGCTCGTCTCTGTTCTGAAGTCTTACTTTTAGCTGACCTGACCACATTTTGGACTTTTAATTTGTGACAGAGCAACCTTTGCAATCTTTTCTCTGAACTGTTTTGCAGGCTGACATCCCCAACCGATTTGAGATGAAGCTCCACAGGAACAACATCTTCGAAGAGTCGTATCGTCGAATCATGTCGCTGAAGAGACCGGACGTCCTGAAGGCGCGGCTGTGGATTGAGTTTGAATCTGAAAAAGGATTGGATTACGGCGGCGTGGCCCGAGAGTGGTTCTTCCTTTTATCTAAGGAGATGTTTAATCCATACTACGGCCTGTTCGAGTACTCCGCTACGTAAGTCTCTGCCTGCGTTTGTGCTCACTTTACAAAAGAAAAAAGAGAGTTTAATTGAGATAAAACCCCAGGATGCAACACAGTATTTGGAGTTACATGAAGCCAGAATAGGAACACGCTGTGCTGAAAATATCCTCTTCTCATATGTTTAGACCTTCTCCACAAAGTGTGCTAAAAGGCTCTGCTGTTGTGTTGTTTTCCTTGTGAGACTTGTAAAAACTTCCTCTTTCTTTGATTGTCTTTTCCTCTAATTCTAAAGCCATCCTGAAGCAAATGTTTCCCACAAACACCATCATTAAAGAGTTTTTGTTTTGCTTTGTTCTCGGCACTGCTGTCCTTACATAATGACTGTTTTTTATTTTAGTCTTGAGGGCTCTTACATAACAAGAGGTTGTAAAAAATGAACAAAATGTGTAGCCTTTAAAACTTTTTTTATCATTTCTTAGATCATTGTGTTGCAGCAATAAATAAAAAGATATTATTGATCACTTTAGATATCTTGGCTATTTTATTGTGAAGTCCATTAAAATAATGCATTAGTTTGAACTCGGAACCTGTTTGTTTGTTCTTAAAATGGATTAAAAAGCTAATGACTTTCTTCCTGTTTTTATTTTTTTTATTTTTGTATGTGTGTGTGTCTAATCAGGGATAATTACACTCTCCAAATCAATCCTAACTCCGGCCTCTGCAACGAAGATCACCTCTCCTATTTTAAGTTCATTGGTCGTGTGGCGGGAATGGCCGTGTTTCATGGAAAGCTGTTGGATGGTAAGATAATCTGTGCTTGTAATCGTCCTAAATATGTTTTTATCTTAACATATTTTCATTTATCCTTTTGAGAATTCTCATAAATTCATTTTTGAAGCATTTTCTCCACACTTACATGGTGTAATGTACCAATACTGTCTTCTGTTATTGTAGGTTTTTTCATTCGACCGTTTTACAAGATGATGCTGGGAAAACAGATTTCTCTCAAAGACATGGAGTCTGTGGTAAGACCTTATTCCCGCTTTTTTATTGTCTGATTCATTCAGTCCGCATTACACATGAGTATTTATTTGATTAAAATAGTTCTTTATAACTTTGACTAACCAGAGTAAATCTCTACCCACAGGACAGTGAATACTACAACTCACTAAAGTGGATTCTGGAAAATGATCCCACTGAGCTTGACTTGAGGTTTTGCATTGATGAGGACAACTTTGGACAGGTGTGCAGTCATTCAGTCATTTGTATTTTATCAGTGAAGACCTCATCTGTTGTTTAGCATTAAGACTATCTTAGCATTCAACTTTTTTTGTGTGTATTTCTTTCTTCAGACGTATCAGGTGGACCTGAAGCCCAGCGGCTCAGACATGGTGGTCACCAACGACAACAAAAAGGAGTACATAGAGTAAGTCATATTCATTTATTTAAAATTACTATTTCAAACTCATCTCATCAGTGTTTTCCTCTTTCAGCTTGGTCATCCAGTGGCGATTTGTCAACCGGGTTCAGAAGCAGATGAATGCGTTCTTAGAGGTATTTATGTGCAGTTATAAAAGTTACCACATGGTGGCGGGGTAACCACAGATTTACTGTTTTTACAAGTCTGTTTTTAAACCTCGACGTTCCTCATCTATTACATTTTTGACCGTTTCAGTGCTTAGTGAAGTGTTTTGTATTTCTGTTGTGTTTAATTGGTTTTGCTGGATTTTTCAGGGCTTCACTGAACTCATTCCTATTGATCTGATCAAGATTTTTGATGAAAACGAACTGGAGGTATAAACACATAAGAGTTTAAACCTTTTGTTTTAAATGTCTCTGGAAAATTTTCTAAACTATGTTCATGCAAATTTTTTGAGGCTTCTTCAATCAAAGACATTTTATTATAATATAGTTGTTACAGTACTCCTCACACTTCATTGCATTTTATTTATTTAAATATTATTTAATTTACTAATATTCTGTCTGATTCGTGAAGCTGCTCATGTGTGGTCTCGGTGACGTGGACGTCAACGACTGGAGGCAACACACTGTTTACAAGAACGGCTACTGTCCCAACCATCCAGTTATACAGTGGTTCTGGAAGGTTTGTTTCACACACACACACACACACACACNCACACACACACACACACACACACACACACACACACACACACACACACATTTATTCTTTTATCGTTATAACTTCAGGGAGTTGCATTTCTTTCTATTCACTTATCGGTCATAACTAACCCTGACCCCTCACCCTACACCTAACCCCTGACCCACCAATGGTAATTCCCCTGATGGGGACTGCTTCATAAGGAACAGTGGGTTCTCACCAGGCTGGAAAAACAGTCAAAAATTGTCCCCACCAGTTAACAAAAACGTGTTCACACACTCATGACGCCATGCAGCAGAAATCCACACTTTGATGCCACCAAGAGTTGCAAATCACTTATAAACCATAAATAAATAAATAAATAAGTTTTAAACTAAGGAGAGTAGTTTCTGATGTTTAGGAAGCAGATTTTTTTTATTCATTTGAAAAAATATTTTTTTTACTTGTTTAAATTTAAAATAGCCGAAGTGTCTTCACCTTCTTCTCCTGTTCAGATTTGGGACAACACAATAAAATGACAATAATTGATATTGTTCCTTTTTTTTTTTCAGATATAAAACAACAAAGTTCAACTCAACATATTACGAAAATTAATATTTGAACGAACCGCAGTGAGGTCAAATTATAAATTAACAGAAATCAACACTTGAAAAATAGATCTGAAGTGAGTCAGCTGTGGTGCATCGGTAGAAAACTTACAGTAGCATTAGATGGTTTCAAAATGTGATGAATGTGAGTCTATTGAAGGAAATGTCCAAAATATATTCCTAAAGATTGTTTTGAAGCAGATAGAGCAGAAATAATTTGTTTTCTCTTTTTTTCCCTTTGCACTAGCGAAGCTACTTCTACTACTATCTACGAAATCCAGATATGGTAATATAGTTTGAGGTTTCCTCTTTCGAATGATGTCAGTAAATCCTCATTAGATGAGTTAAAACAGGCTTCAGACTGACTTTTCCAGTTGTCTTCTCAATTACCAAGACAAATCAAGTCTTATATTGAGAACTGTTCATAATTTTAGAATAACCAGGGTATAAAGATCTGTCTTGAAAAGCCAGGAGCCTGAATGTGGGCTTGGTTTAGTTTGATCTATTTGGACTTGATCTTTGTTTCTATGAGACTGGTCACATCGGGCCTTTTTTAATTTATTTTTTCTTACTGTTGTCATAAACTGGATTCCATTAATTGTGTGAATGCCTGTATGGCATTCACACATTTGAGATCCTTTTTTCTTCCGTATGTTTTTCGGCACCTTTCTCGTACCACAATTTTTGTGCTACTTCAACCATTCATATATCAAAACGTTCAGCTCTTTCGTGCAATGCCTGCTATGACTTTTGGTATTTCAGCTATTTATAGCTTTTTAGCTATTTCAACCTTTTTAGCCACCTTTTTCCCATTGACTTTGAATGGGGCTATTTTCAACAACCTTCAAATTCTTCAAGTAGTTTCTAAATCTTTACAAAACCTTACACAATTTATTCTGGTTGTGCTCTTTTTTACTCCCTTGTGCAATTTTAGAAAGGTTTTTACTAACTTTGGCTGTTTTCTGCTATTTCAGCTATAGTTCTGCTTCTTTGTGCTATTCTTCTGTTTATTTGTGCTTTTTTTCTGCTAATTTGAACTATTTATGTTTCTTACAGTTGCTTTCTACTTTATTCAGATAGTTTCTACAAATTGAGCTACATTTTAGCTGTTAATAGCTAAAATTAGCTTTTTAGGCTATATACATATTTTGTTTGTAGCAATTACAACTTAATTCTGCTAAATTCACCAAGGTAGTACTCCCTATGCATTCTTATGATAAATAAAATATTTCCAGCTTCTGGCTTCTACGTTTGGATAGCTTTTATGCTAATTTTAGCTTTTTTCTGCTATTTTATCTGTAGTTCTATTTTCTACTATTCCTGTGCTATTTTTTTTGCTTTTTGGTGTGTTTTTTTTTCTGGTACTTTGTGTTATGCATGTTTCTTACAGGTGCTTTCTGCTTAATTAAGCTATTTTAGCATTTAGCTTTTTTATGCTATTTTAACTATATTTTTTCTCCTTTTTTACTGTTTTTCTGTTTTATCATTTGCTTCTTTCAGCTTTTAAAGTTTGACTTAGAATAATACTTTTGCTATTAAACATTCTCAGCTCAATTTCAGCAACTTTCAGCAACAGGCATTCACACTAGCATTTTCACAGGAAATGCAATTTCTCTAGTTGTAATTTAATAAGAATTGGACAAAGATTGGATTCTGTTGTGCTTTGACTCTCTCTCTAAATTGATTCTTCATAAACATCAGTTTGAGTTAATGACCAGTCTGTAGCAAAGGCTGGTCACTTTTGTTCCCAGTATATTTGACAGCTGTGCCATGCTGTGGTGTTTTCTTCAGAAAGTGTTTTTAAACAATTCCTTTTCCTGTAGAATATGGCACCTGACAGGCAGCATAGTGTACCTTTCAACGATTTTAACCAACTTTATCTTTATGTTTTACTTATGAAGACTTTAAGAAAACTTGAGGTTCTTGAACGCTAAACAAGTGAGAAGATTAAATGAAATTAAAAGCTTAACACTTTCTGAATGAAATATATTTTAAAGGAATTCCTAACATGAGAAACAAAACGGGAACAAATAATTTTAAAAACAAACTGCTAATTTAAAGTGCTTAAAGATACATGTTTAGGAGCCTTTGTTATATTTGAATGAGTCACTGTGGGAACGGCTCAGTGAGAAATTCAAAAGTAAAATCAGTAGTGTTGCAGCTTTTTTAGAACTAGTGTTAAGTGTAATCAGAACGTTTCATGATACGAGCTGGGTCCGGTCATGTTCCTGTGTATTTGACCTGAGACAGATTTTCTGGCCTCATTTTTGTGGATCAAAGTCTGTTTGGAAGAACAGGCTTGTTTGCTCTGATGAAAGAACCCAAAGTATTACCTGTCCTCGTTATTATCTTGAGCGTTAACAGACTTAAACACATCAAACACACTTCTGTTTGAATTTGTACTCTCACTTTTGGTTTTTCATAAGATTGTTGTGACAATACGTTGCCCAACATGTTACCTAAATCTTTGCTTTCACAATGACATCAAACAGACCCCAACACATTTTTGGAACAACTTTATTCCTCGTAAAGCTACATTTGAGCCCTAAGTAATTGATAAAATTTAACTCAAACCTTAATCTTCTCATAGATAATGACTCTTGTTGGCACACTTAAGCTAAATTTTAGGGCTGTCAAGTGATTAATAGTTTTAATCTGATTAATCCCAAAGTAGCTGTGAATTAATCATGATTAATCTTAAATTTAATACACATTTCTGTTGCATATTGATAAAATAAATTACTTGTTATTAATTAGTTTTTAATGTTTTATTTAGAAAACAAAATTGATGCTTAGACA